TAAAAAGACACAATTGAGTCCGGCTGTTTAGACAACTACACAGCTATCTAATCAGGATGATTTGCCAAAACACACTTCAATTCTTTCACTGCCTTTAGTCCAGGAGCTGCTTTAGCTGCCTTATCCGTCTCCACGCTCTCCCTTCCTTGGCACAACATAATCCAAGCACGTAACAGACACGATAAATCTTCAAGAAGCCAAGATGTGGTGGATGACCTTCCTAAACACAATTTCTGGACACAGTTATTTTACATGTCATCTTCTATCTTATCACTTCTTTCTGGACACAGTTATTTTACATGTCATCTTCTATCACTTCATTTATTTCTAAATGCTTTCCAAAAGGTCCAAGATCTAATCAAATGAGGAATTGATATAATAATGATCCACTTGTGCATGCTAAAACTCAGTCTCTCCCTGCTGCTTTTTTTTCAATCCACATAATTTTCTATTATTCATGTTGAAGAGAAATCTGTCATAGTCCTTTGCATCATGGGACACCCAGCCCTGTGCAATGTCTCACTCTGCCAGTTTTCTCAATGATGATCTACAATAAATTATTTTCCTAATATAATTGGCAATGTCAGGAGGCACAGTCCCCTCAGCCCTGGTCTCTCAGCTCATTGGAAGAAACGAATGCTCTCTCACTAATTCCTTGGCTATTTGTTCATCTTTATAGTTTGGGGCCGGGTGTCAGGCAGATGCAGAGTAGTTCTTCACTCTGTGCATCCAGCTAACAGTTTTCTTGCATCATTTGCAGTTCCCAGATCTCCTCCCATCTACTCGAACAATTTCACAGCCTTCCACACTCCTCTGTGCCTCTGAGAACAGCCCTTTGTTCGCTGACAAGAGGAATCTGCAATCTCATCAGCTCCCACCACCTCCCACCACCTCCCACCACCCTCTGGGCAAAGAAAAGGAGGATGGAGAGGGCCTGGATGAGCCTGGAGGTGACTGCACCAGATTAGTGAGGACAGTACACAGAGTTCAGAACAGGGCAGCCCTCCTGGCTGGGTGACCTTGGGGCCGATCTGGGTCCCATGACCTTACAGTGTGAAGGAGCCAGACTAAAGAATTCTGAGTCCTTTCCAGCTCTAAATATCTCAAACCCTGATTATTACCCCAAGCATCTATTATGTTGAACAAAATTGTACTGACATGTGTCTCTGGGTAGCAAAATGTTAAGAGTCTTTTTCTTCCTCTCTTCTGCATTTTGCAAATATAGTTCATACTAAGTTTAAAATACAGTTTATAATATTTATAAATAAGTAGAAAATAGTTCATACTAAGTTTGCACTACTAATTGTGTGTTCACAAAACCAAAATGTCTATGATTCTAGGAAGAAAAAGTTTTTTTAAGAGAGGAAAATTGAGTAAATTTAAAAAGTAAAGGCAGAAGAGAAAGAAAGACCCCATGTGGGGGTCAAAAATCCGCCTAGAGCAGAGAAAGCCCTGCAGGGACAGAGTTCTCAATTTGGGATTTCCCACAAGGGTGAAAAGTCTTTGTAAACTCTTGTGGCGCCATCTGCTGGTCATCCCAGCAGCAACCTCTTAATGTGATTCCGGAAAGGGCTTTAAAGCCAATCTGGAGAACATCGATAAAGTCATGTTCAAGGTAAAGATCACATTCTATTTACAGGTAAATCTCGCTCCAGTGTCACCTCCAGAATTCACTTTGGATTTGGCGTTGCAGTAATGATTGTAACAGGGACACCTGAGAAATTTCCTTCTGTACGTTCACCCAATAACTACACGCAAGTCCCTCGTGCCAAGAGGAACAGACCCTCCAGGACTCCACCTCCCCAGGCCTGGGTACCCAGAGAGAGAGGAACTCTGAGGAAACCCACTCTCAGCCCCCACAGGGGTTGGTTTGATCTTCATCTGTCTCTGTCCCCTGGGTTTCCATGAATCTTCAACTCACTGGCCTTTAAAACAATCCATTGGTTCAAGCTTTCCCACATGTCCCAGCAACCCAAAGTGCTGGCAAGTCCTCTCATTTGTCTTCCACCCAACATTAGCCCTGCTTTCCCATGGAAGCTGCCCCATGGAAACACGATCTTTCACTCCTTGTGGGTCGGGACTGTGGGTCACGTGGTTCCGCTGATTTCACAACCCTTCCCGCAGAGGATGCCCGGCAAACGTCCCTTTGCTTCTGAAACTGGTCTTTAGGTGCAGGACAGTATGCATATCCCGCAAGACTTGTTTAAAGCACGCTTTTCTAGATATTGAAGGAAAAGCATTTTCCTCCTAACATTTCTCATTTCACTCTAAAAGGCACCTCTCCAGATATCAGTCTTAAAAATAGCCTTAACCAGGCTCCTTGGAAGATGCAGCCACTTGTCTGTACAGCTGTGATGCTGTGATAGAATAAGAAATATATATTTGAACTTCATCCCCCGTTCCTGGCACAGAGCTGCTAAAACCTTATAACTTCCTGAGTGACAGGCATGAGGGGGGCATCTTTTGTGGTACTATTTGGTTTGTCCCCAGTTCCTGGCATGGGATTCAAAGAGCTTCCAGGATTGGTGAATTCATCCACATTCAGGGAAAGTGGGGCACCTCAAACTCCGTGGGGAATTCTTGTACTTAGAATCCTTCTCAACGCACCCTATGCACCTCTTCGTCTGGCTGTTCATTTGTATCCTTTAAATTATCCATTATCATAAACCACAAATAGTAAGTCTAAAATATTTTTAATAAAGAAGCAAAATAAATAAAAGTTACCCCTCCAGTCTTTCTGGACACGGTGTTCATTAGCAAAGAATAATATGAGGGTCCATCCTTCTCAAGGCAAAGAAGCCCTCGGGAGCCCCTGATTGGTCCTGCCAGGGAGGGAAGGGCTCCCATATTTGGAAGGCAGCAGGAATGCACCTCCCCCCGCAGCTCCTACATAGCCGGGCCGGCCCAGGAGTGTGTGCAGGAGG